GCTGAATACATAAATATATAAATATATAAATAAATAAATATATAAATAAATAAATATATAAATAAATAAATAAATATATTTATTTGTTTATTTGTTTATTTGTTTATTTTTTATTTAGTTAATAATTGTTTTAGTTAAGGAGGGATGGAATTAACGCGTTATATGTCTTATTCTTTTGGAGACAACTGAATACATAAATATAAAAATATATAAATATATAAATATATAAATATATAAATATGTTTGTTTGTTTGTTTGTTTGTTTGTTTGTTTGTTTATTTGTAGTTGTATAAACTATGTATTTTGTTTTAGTTGATTTAACTCGTTATATGTCTTTTTCTTTTGGAGACAACTAAAATACACACAAATAAATAAATATAAAAAAATAAATATATATAAATACATACACAGATAAATATAAGCAAACAAATAAATATAAATAAATAAATAAATAAATAAACTATTTATTAAAATAAACAAATATTTTCAAACAAAAAGAAAGAGAGAAAGAAAAGCACCAGGCCGCCAGCGTGCCCCCCCAAACCCAAAAACCCCAAAAAACCCAAAAAACCAAAAAAACAGAAAAAAAAAAAACAAAAAAAACAAAACAAAAAAAAACAAAAAACAAAAAAAACAAAAAAAACAAAAAAAACCAAAAACAAAAACAAAATAAAAAACAAAAAAAAAACAAAAACAGAAAGGAAATAGAAGTAAATACCTGTTCAGGGGGATAGGGAAAGTCTGGTGTTTGAAAGAAATAAGTACGAAGCCAAAAAAAACCAAAAAAACAAAAAACAAAAAAAAACAAAAAAAAAAACAAAAACAAAAAAATAAAGAAAAAGAAGAATAAAAAAAGATAAATACCTGTTCAGGGGGATAAGGAAAGTCTGGTGTTTGAAAGAAGTAAGTACGAAGACGTTCAAAGTTAGCATCAATACCGAAGACCGAGCCAGTACTTCTATAGCATTGCATACGCATTTGTATTTTATGTGGTTGTGCATCCATATTAAGGAACTGTATTTCTAGTTTTCTTTCTGTATTATAATTTTGTTGAGCTCTTCTTGCTGTGAGTGATGCTTTTGATAGAGCGAAGATTTCTCCTGTTTTTTCATCTATTTGTTGTATTTCAGGAAAATATTCAGTTCCAGATACTGCATGCAAAGCTCTTGCTGCTATCACTGCTTGTAAGTTATCTGCAATAGATAGAGGGTTTGCTGTGCGAAAATAAAATTCATTGAGTCCTAAATAATTATAATATTCATATAAATGTTTATCTACTGTTATATCTTTAAATAAATCACGAGATTTTAATAATCTTTGGACTTCCTCAAATTGCCATCTATACTTCTCACTCATCTTTATTCCTTCTCCTGTTGCTGCTCCTGCTGCTGCTGCTGCTGCTCCTGCTGCTGCTGCTGCTGTTGCTGTTGTTGTTGCTGCTGATGATGGGGATGTTGATGATAGGCCTCCTGTTCCTGCTGCTGATGAACCGTATAATCCTGTTGCTGCTGCTGTTCCTGCTGCTGCTGCTGCTGCTGCTGCTGCTGCTGCTTCTGGGTCTGCACCAAATAAAGTACTATCACCTAAAGAACCAACAGCACGAGGAGGAGAACACTCAAAAGATGTATTGCGCGGTATACGCAGAGGCTCGCCGTCGAAACAAGTAAACAAAGAACCACATCTTTCCTTTAAAAATCCTACACTGTTGTTGTTGTTGTTGCTGCTGCTTGGACTGTTGCTGCTGCTGTTGCTGTTGCTGTTGCTTGTGCTGCTGCTGCTGTTGCTGCTGCTGCTACCGCTGCAGCCACCCATGCATCCCTCCTTCTTCTTTGGATTCTCTTCTTTCTCCGGCATTTTCAAGAAAAAAGAAATACAAACAAATGATACACCAACCACAGGAATAGATAGTACAGACAGAAACAAGAAAAGAATAGATTCAGATAGAGAGAGAGATCCGCTTACGTACACCTCAGCAGCAACAACGAGAAAGCAAACAAACCTCTCTCAACTATTTCACCCTCAAAATATATAAATTCAACTTTTTTTGCAAAGATCACACCAAGAACATGAACGAAATATTCAAGTTCCGATCAGAAACCCCACGCACAGCCGCCACGGTATCGGGGGGAAATACGCGAAAGCTGAGATATTTTCAGTTGCTTTTGCCTTTTAAAAGGATAAATATTCATAAAAAAAGATATTTAAACACAAGTTTACTCTTTTTTTTTCGTGAAAACGAAACGTTTCAGGTGCTGCGGCCGGTAACCACCGCGGGGCCCTATGGCGCTCAGGTGTACATACACCGCGCGAGTGGGGGGGCAGCGCGGGATTCAAGTTTTCGTGCAGAATTCGTAATTTATTTTCATGAGTTTTGTTTTTTTTTCATGTTTTTGAAAAAAGAAATGTTTTGTTTTATATAAAACGCAAAAAAATTCAGGTGTACGTACACCCCGCTACAGATTACTCAGCCTCTCCCTCAGCGGCCGACGCGCGGTGCTGATCGATTCGTCTTTTTTCTTTTCTATAACAAAAAATATTTAAATTAAAATTAATAAACTCAAAAACTTTATTAAATTAAATTAAATTAAATTAAATTCAGTGTTTAGACGCATATTTTTATCTGCTTTATACAAACAAAAGCAACAAAAAAAAAA